AATAAATAAATAAAATAAATATATATATATATATATATATATAAAATAATAAACCTCACATTTCAGCCTTTACTTTTTTTTTTTTTTTAAGAAAAGGATGCGTCAAAATTATAAATTATAGGCATAATTCTACATTATTATCCGAAGTGTTGAGATTTCTAGACTCCACATTAGCTTGTTTTCCATTAACAATTTGGTTGCCAATGTTTGCATTGGTCTGAACAAAAACAGCAGACAGGCTGAATGAAAAATGTAAATCTACTGTCTACCAGCAGGTGGTAGACAGTAGCTTATGTAACAGTGGTAGCTTATGTAACAGCAGAAATCGAGCTGTTTCCACGGTAACCACTGTGAACAAAGCAGCTGTGCTTATAAATACTACTTTATTAGGCATTACATAGAAGGAAGATGGGAAGCAAATGCCATTGCTGTGAATTTTTCAAATCATATACGGTGTTAATGATAATTAAAATATGAAACTGTTAAATTAACCGTCTGCACATTTTATCGTAGTTTACCTTCAATCTGGTAACCATTTCATCCCCATGAGAAACCTAGAATCTCTCAGACATCCATAAACAATCACTCTCAATGGGAAGATGGAAAGTCTCAAATGTGCTGTCATTGACTGAACTTATCTGGTCTCTGGCTATTTTGCTCAGTCTGGCTCTTGTATCTGAGCAGAGTTTGGTCTCGGTGGTAGGGGACATTTTTAAAAGTACTAAATGGCCATACCGCAGGGAAGCCCGTGACCCTTTGACTCTCCGGCGTATCTGCGGTGGCTCAAATCGATTTGATGGTAACAGAGAGAAAACGGTGCCATCTGAATTTGGATTCCCTAGAGATCCTCCTTCACACAGGGATACTGATCTTGAACCCTGGAAGTGAGATTATTTGTGCGAAGTGTAAATGTATCCGGACTTTTGTGTAGATGCTGGGTCTTGGATCAGATCAGGTCAGCTCGGAAAATGGCACAGTGAGAAACAGATGTTCGGTGGGCGGAATTTGGCCTCATTTTCAGTATTTGTAAAGCGAATCAGGAAAAACTGAATGTGTTTTTGCTGATGAGGAATAAATATTTTCACTGCCTCGTAATCAAAACGATGGGGTTATGACTGATGCCCCATCTCATTATCCAAATCATTCTGTTGCTGGGAGACAAGTGTGTGTGTGTGCGTGTGTGTGTGTGTGTGCGCGCGCGTGTGTGTGTGCGTGTGCGTGTGTGTGTGTATCATCTATCCATCCATCCATCCGGTTAGTTAGTTTGTTTGTAAAAAAAACGTTACTTTTTAATTTTTTGTAGCTTTAATTTTTATTTTTAAAATAATTGTACTTTTTAGTTTAATAATTGTACTTATTATTAGTAGTAGTAGTATTGTTATTATTATTATTATTATTTATTTTGTAATTTAGCTTTTTTGTTGTTGTTGATGTCACACCCACCATACAATAATATATATTTTAAATATGTATAGTTTTTATTCACTCAACCATAAATCTATTATATACTTCTGTTAAAATGTTTGGGGTTAGTAAGGTTTATTTTTTTTTTTTTAAGTGAAATATAATTGCAATGCAATTTAAAAGAACTGTTAAATAGTAATTTATTTCTGTGATGCGCAGCTGTATTTTCAGCATCATTACTCCAGTCTTCAGTGTCACATGATCTTCAGAAATCATTCTAATATGCTGATTTGCTGCTCGAGAAACATTTCTGATTATTATCAATGCTGAAAACAGTTGTGCTGCCCAATATTTTTGTGAAAACTGATATTTTATTTTCCAAAATTCTTTGATGAGCAGAAAGTTCAAAAGAACAGCATTTATTTGAAACAGAAATCACTTTTGTTCAATTTAATGCTTCCTTATCAAAAAAAACAAAAACAACAACAACATCAAAATACACCAATGTATATTGGAGCTGACACATGTAGTTAAAGACACTGATATACATTGGTTGTGTGTTTGGGCCGTAAGAGGCAGTTCTGGACCAGACTCATGGTGGCAGGAGGATGTTTAAGCTTCGGTCAGTCGGGCAGATGGCATTTGGCAGCTCTGTCTGTGGCTGGATGCCCTCATTGACGAGCAGCAGGTGCTTCAGGGCATCCAGTGGTGCCAGCTGTGTGCAGGAGAGCGAGGATGGGGACAGGCACCGTCGAGGTGCAGCGGTCATTAGGAATTGGACAAACAAAGGTAAATGCATCCGGATTGGATCCTAATGGAATCATGTCACGCTCTCATTGTGATGGCCTGTGTATATGCATTTCCATCACTGCCTCTTCTTGCGGCATCTCTCTGTATCCATCGTCTCTTTTACCTCCGCCAGTGGCAACAGGCTCCATTTACATTGGATTATTGCGACCTTCCACCCCAGCTCCCGCTCTTTTGCTCTCTCTCACCCTGTTTAGAAATTCATTTATTCAGTTGTGAAGAATGGGGATCGAGCTGGCAGGGCAGCCTCAGTTACTGAGCAAGAAGGATAATTCGATGAATCAGCCGTTAGTGTCTGGGAAAGCAAGATAGCCTCTGTGTGTCTTCAGGGCTTCTAGACAGAGACCACAGTCATTCTTTTCATGCATGCAGCTCCATGAAGACTGTACCTAATGGCTGTCGTTTGGTTCGTTGAGTGTTACAATTATGACTTTGGTGATTAAAACCTGAGCACGTGCTCACAGAGTTTCTCTAGTCTCGCCTCAGTGGGAAACGGACCTCATAATGCCTTCATATAATCGCTTGTTTAGTTTTTTTCCTCCGCTCTACATATTGCATAATACAAATGATGCATGCTTGGAATGGGGATTTCACATTGTTGGGTTTATGATGGATGCTTTATCACTGACAACAGTGACCACTTGGGTTTTTTTCAGTGAGGAAAATAAAAACAAAACATAAATAACAATAAAGTTGGTTTTGCAGCCGTAGTCTGTTATATGTTTGTCTCACAGCACTTTCATGTTCACAGCATCACATTTATTAAACATTCAAAATCAAGAGAATTGCAACAACAGTTAAATCTTTGAAATCTATTTATCCACTGTGAGGTTTTTACTCTATTTTTAATATGTGAAGCATGTGTTGTGGAATTGTACGTGAAAGTAATAAAGAAATGGTAAAGTACTACTACTAATATTAATACATTCTACGTTTTGGGATTAAAATCTTTAAAGTAATAGTTTGAAGATTTATTTAGTCAATATAACAAAATAATATTCTGTTATTATATGAAGCAACCATTTAAGTCAACAATATATATTTTATTTATATATGCAACAATATGCAACAAAAAAATATGTGTGTTTATGTAGGTTTTTGTAGTTTTTATTTTATTTTTTAATATGTGTATATCTTTTATATTTACTTATACAATATCAACATGTATTGATGGGTTTTAGGATGGATATACATGCACAGGACATATACGTCCGAAAATATTGTGTGCATACATAAACATACATATTTGTTAATATATGAAATTATTCCAATTTCTTTTCATATGACAAGATATTTCATATATAGAAATGTAATATATGTACATATATCTCGCCTTCACTGCGAGAGAACTGCAGTCGACGCTTTGATCTGTCACAAACATGGCTGCAGATTCATTATAGACAATTGTCAGTTCAGTTCAGTTCAGTTCCTCTTTATTGTTCTCTGACCTTTATGTGTGAAATGAGACCAGACGCGTGGGTGTGCATATTAAGTCTCCCCCATATCAGAGGCCTGTTTTATATCCCGCCATCCAATTCCTTGTTTCTCATTTCTTAATGCGTGTTATTGGTCAGCGTCTCTCTCCCGAACACTAATGGGTGACTCCATTAGATAATAGTCACATGCTTGTGTCCTCCCGGGTGCCATCAAAAATCATTGCAGCCAGGGGAATAATGGAGGCTTGCTCTATTCCAGCAGTTAGGGAGTTTTTAAGAGTCTACCAAACCAGTGGGAACAATTACTGAATCTCAACACGCAGCGTTAATAGTGTTGGGCTTTACGTAATGTGATGTTTCCCTCAGAGTTTGGTTTGAAAATGTCCGCAGGCTTGACGGT